ATTGTTGGTCTTTCATCTACAGAAATTGATGATGCAAGAGCATATACTTGCTTTCCATTTGCAACATTCTATCCTTGGTTAACCCAAAATGAAGTCAAGAAGACTGAGGTTTTTAAAACCAGCAGTAGCCAAGGAGCATATACGATATCCTGCTCCATTGTGTCAGATTCCACAATCATAGGCATCAAAATAACCTTCTAATGTGTTTTTTTTTTAATTGGAGTATAATTGCTTTACAGTGTTGTGTTAGTTTCTGCTGCACAGCGAACTGAATGAGCCATATGCATACACATATCCCCTCCCTCTTGGAACTCCCTCCCTCACCCCCATCCCACCCAACTAGGCCATCACAGAGCACCCAGCTGACCTCCCTGTACAGCAGGTCCCCACTAGCTATCTATTTAACACACGGTAGTGTATTTATGTCAAACCTAATCTCCCAATTCATCCCACCCTCCCCTTCTGCCCCTCTGTGTCCACACGTCCGTTCTCTACGTCTGCCTTTCTATTCCTGCCCTGCAAACAAGGTTCATCTGTACCATTTTTCTAGATTCCACATATATACATTAACATACTATATCTGTTTTCCCTTTCTGACTTACTTCACTCTGTATGACAGACTCTGGGTCCATCTACATCTCAACAAATGACCCCATTTCATTTTTTTATGGCTGAGTAATATTCCATTATATATACGTACCACATCTTCTTTATCCATTCATCTGTTGATGGACATTTAGGTTGTTTCCATGTCCTGGCTATTGTGAATAGTGCTGCAATGAACATTGGTATACATGTGTCTTTTTGAATTATGGTTTCTCAGGGTATATGCCCAGTAGTGGGATTGCTGGGTCGTATGGTAGTTCTATTTTTAGTTTTTTAAGGAACCTCCATACTGTTCTCCATAGTGGCTGTATCAATTTCCATGCACACCAACAGTGCAAGAGGGTTTCCTTTTCTCCACACCCTCTCCACCATTTATTGTTTGCAGATTTTCTGATGATGACCATTCTGACCAGTGTGAGGTGATACCTCATTGTAGTTTTGACTTGCATTTCTCTATTTTTTATTTTATTTATTTTTTAAATTTATTTATTTATTTTTAGCTGTGTTGGTTCTTCATTGCTGTGTGCGGCTTTCTCTAGTAGTGGCAAGTGGGGGCTACTCAGCTACTCTTTGTTGGGGTGCACAGGCTTCTCATTGCAGTGGCTTCTCTTGTTGCAGAGCACAGACTCTAGATGCGTCGGCTTCAGTAGTTGTGGCTCACGGGCTCTAGAGGACAGGCTCCGTAGTTGTGACACATGAGCTTATTTGCTCCATGGCATGTGGGATCTTCCCAGACCAGGAATCAAACCCATGTGCCTAGCATCAGCAGGCAGATTCTTTTTGTTTTGTTTTGTTTGTTTTCTTAATTTTTTTATTGAAGTACAGTTTATTTACAATGTTAGTTTCTGCTGTACAGCAAAGTGATTCAGTTACACACACACACACACACACACACACACACACACACACACACACACACACACATATATATACCTTCTTTTTTTATATATTCTTTTCCATTACAGTTTATCATAGGATTTTTTTAACATTTTTATTGGAATATAATTGCTTTACAATGGTGTGTTAGTTTCTGCTTTAAAACAAAGTAAATCAGCTATACATATACATATATCCCCATATCTCTTCCCTCTTGCGTCTCCCTCCCTCCCACCCTCCCTATCCCACCCCTCTAGGTGGTCACAAAGCACCGAGCTGATCTCCCTGTGCTATGCAGCTGCTTTCCACTAGCTATCGGTTTTACACTTGGTAGTCCATATATGTCCATCCCAGTCTCTCACTTTGTCCCAGCTTACCCCTCCCCCTCCCCGTGTGGTCAACTCCATTCTCTAGTAGTTCTGCATCTTTATTCCCCTCCTGCCCCTAGGTTCTTCATGACCTTTTTTTTTTTTTTTTTTAGATTCCGTATATATGTGTTAGCATATGGTATTTGTTTTTCTCTTTCTTACTTACTTCACTCTGTATGAGAGATGCTATGGTCCATCCACCTCACTACAAATAACTCAATTTCGTTTCTTTTTATGGCTGAGTAATATTCCATTGTATATATGTGCCACATCTTCTTTATCCATTCATCTGTCAATGGATGCTTAGGTTGCTTCCATGTCCTGGCTATTGTAAGTAGAGCTGCAATGAACATTGTGGTACATGACTCTTTTTGAATTATGGTTTTCTCAGGGTATAGGCCCAGTAGTGGGATTGCTGGGTCGTATGCTAGTTCTATTTTTAGTTTTTTAAGGAACCTCCATACTATTCTCCATAGTGGCTGTATCAATTGACATTCCCACCAACAGTTCAAGAGGGTTCCCTTTTCTCCACACCCTCTCTAGCATTTATTGTTTGTAGAGTTTTTGATGATGGCCGTTCTGACTGGTGTAAGATGATATCTCATTGCAGTTTTGATCTGCATTTCTCTAATGATTAATGATGTTGAGCATTCTTTCATGTGTTTGTTGGCAATCTGTTTATATTCTTTGGAGAAATGTCTGTTTAGGTCTTCTGCCCATTTTTGGATTGGGTTGTTTGTTTTTTTGTTATTGAGCTGCATAAGCTGCTTATAAATTTTGGAAATTAATCCTTTGTCAGTTGCTTTATTTGCAAATATTTTCTCCCATTCTGAGGGTTGTATTTTCGTCTTGTTTATGGTTTCCTTTGCTGTGCAAAAGCTTTTAAGCTTCATTAGGTCTCATTTGTTTATTTTTGTTTTTATTTCCATTTCTCTAGGAGGTGGGTCAAAAAGGATCTTGCTGTTATTTATGTCATAGAGTGTTCTGCCTATGTTTTCCTCTAAGAGTTTTATAGTGTCTGGCCTTACATTTAGGTCTTTAATCCATTTTGAGTTTATTTTTGCATATGGTGTTTGGGAGTGTTCTAATTTCATTCTTTTACATGTAGCTGTCCAGTTTTCCCAGCACCACTTATTGAAGAGACTGTCCTTTCTCCATTGTATATTCTTGCCTCCTTTGTCAAAGATAAGGTGACCATATGTGTGTGCGCTTATCTCTGGGCTTTCTTCCCTGTTCCATTGATCTATATTTCTCTTTTTGTGCCAGTACCATACTGTCTTGATTACTGTAGCTTTGTAGTATAGCCTGAAGTCTGGGAGCCTGATTCCTCCAGCTCCATTTTTCTTTCTCAAGACGGCTTTGGCTATTCAGGGTCTTTTGTGTCTCCATACAAATTTTAAGATTTTTTGTTCTAGTTCTGTAAAAAAAAAAAATGCCATTGGTAATTTGATAGGGATTGCATTGAATCTGTAGATTGCTTTGGGTAGTAGAGTCATTTTCACAATGTTGATTCTTCCAATCCAAGAACATAGTATATCTCTCCATCTATTTGTATCATCTTTAATTTCTTTCCTCAGTGTTTTATAGTTTTCTGCATACAGGTCTTTTGTCTCCTTAGGTAGGTTTATTCCTAGGTGTTTTATTCTTTTTGTTGCAATGGTAAATAATTCTTATTTAAAGAGAAGGTGTTAGCTAACCTTTTTGAGCACTATCTACCAGTTACTTTTTTAAAGTATTTTACAGGGAACAACTTATTTTTCTGGCATAACTGCTCTGTGAAGTAGCTATTACTATTATTACCCTAATTTTCAGATGAGAAAATGGAGGACAGAGAGGCTAGGTAGCTTGCCCAACTAATACATAAGGAAAAATATATAATGAAGGATTTTTGGATTATTCTCAAGGGTTATGTTATCATTGGGTGAATTTTTTTGAATTCACTCAGAAGATACTTATTTAATGCCGACTATGTGCCAGGTACTGTGCTAGGAGCAAGAGACAGAGATATTAACATGATGAATACCTTCACATTGCCAAGCATCTGGATAAACAACCATTGTCCAAATCCACATGTATATTAAATAATTGTTGTATTAATTCAATAATTTATCCCAAGTACCTATTCTCTGCCAGGTGTTGTCTAGCAAGCACTGTGTCAAATATCTGGCTTTTTGACAGAAGTCTGTATTTTATTATAATGTTTCTACCTATTAAATACCCATTAGGCATCTCCTCTACAGCTGTATTGAAATGCCATTGATATTCCCATGCCTCTGCCTACAGAGAGCTTCTGTTACAAGATTTGTAGTGATGAATAAAAGAAGCTAAATACTGAGGAAAGGAAGCTGGAGGACCAGAAACACACCCTTCACTAGTTTATACTTAGTCCTCTATTGGCAGTAGTGAGTTGACTTTTCCCTTGTTCTCTTCTTTCGAAGATGGCTGCATTCTAGAAAACTATTGCCTCCTTGTTTCATAAATACCTTTTTTTGTTTATACACAGATTCAATTTTACAATACATTTCTAAATATCTAGCTTGATTCTAGGAGTAAGTTGACCCTCTTTTTTATTTTAAACTGTTTTATGAATGGTGCGGTTGTCATTGACTCTAAACAATTTCATAACTGAGAGATGTGTACAGATAACCAATGACAAATGCAACTTAATTTGAGTTGAAGTTCTGGACTCTGAGAGTTCCCATGGCCACATTAAGAAAGTTGCCATCTTAGGAAAAGAGCAGTTATACTTTGGGACAGACACCTGAGTTCTTAGGTTTAGATAGCGAATATTAATGGAGTAGATTAATAAGGAGTGAGAGCTCTTATCTGAGAATCAGCTTGCTGTGTCATTCACTTAATACCTGGGGTTTCCTTTAAAGCCAAGAGTAATTTACTTTTAAATCTAGTTTTCTATGAAGAAAGACATTCTCTAACAAAACAAAGGCTGTAAGTGAGATCATGCTAATAAAAATGTTGGTGGTCTATAATCTATTTAAACTCCACCATCTTTATTACAATTTATGATGTTTGCAAGTAAATAACCCTTTTGAAAATCATTAGCTATTATCCAAAAGCCTATTGTTAGGGAACTGCAAGTTCAAGTTTTCAAAAACTCTTCCAAAAAATCTCTATATCTATTATCAGATAAAGATGGCTACTCTTTTGAATAAAGAAGACTTCAGATTTCTAGAAAAGTTAAGACAACGCCTGAGCTATGCTATGGTTGATATAGATTCTCAAATTGAGGGTATTGTAGTTCTTTGAAAAATAATTTGCTTCCACTTTTTTGGAGATCTGACTTTCTCTCTTTGGAAGAAATGTGGTTTTTTGGAAATCATAAGAGCTAAGAATCAAAGAATTGATGTTCACATCCTCAGTGTTACACTAACTAGTTACATGTCAAAAGACAGAAACTTAAGCAGTTTTCTCATTGGTTTTATTACTTTTGAAATTGGAGGAGATTCTCTGTGCTGCCTGCCTCCTAGACTCGTAAAGATTCAGCTATCTGGGTGCAAATGTTCTTTGAAGAGATAAATGTGATATACAAATATAACGAATGCTTTTGGGGGGACTTGTGGGGGATGCGTGAGTTTGTAAAATATTGGTATTCACTGGATTTCATTGCATGCTTCCCTGTACAGCATTGTTTGCAATATAATATGTGTTTATTCACTGCAGTTATATGTGTGCTTACTAATTAGAATACGTGTGTTTGTCCCACTCTACCCCATGGATTGAAAGGATCATTATAAAAGAGGTCATGTTTTTATTGTGCAGAGTCCTATCCCCAGCAACTGCACTGACAAGCATAGTAGGTGCTCAATAAGTAATTGTTGGATGAATGGAGCCAGACCCCCTAAATGCACTGTGCATTTGCGGTGTACACTCTGCATTTGTACTTACTGCTTAAAACTGCTGGAAATTATATGTTGTTTTGAATTTTTAGGGCATTTTTTGGGGGGTTTAGATATGCTGCAAAATCAAATTTGGAGATCATGTCTATGAATGTTAAAAAATTAATGACTCACTTCTTCATAATCACTTCTCTTCCGACTTAAAATCCAAATATTTTGTAATTCAGATATTTTGTATTGGCGGGGAAGGGTTTGGTACCATTTAATACTGTACTGATAACTTAAATGATTTTTCTCTTCTTTTGTCTTCTCTTAGAGTACAACCCAGGGTTATGTGATAATGTGATGCTGTTTGAGAGAATGAGGTTCATAATCAGATAAACCTAGGTTCAAGTCCCAACGATACCACTTCCTAGTTACAAGACTTAATATAAGCTGATAATTTCTCTCAGCCTTTGTTGCCTCATGTGAGCCTAATTATACTTCCCCAATGGGATTATTGTGAGGATTAAAGGTAGTAATATACTTAAGGTGCTTGGCGTGATACCTAACACATAATAACCTTTAGCTGTAGCTATTATTGTTTATACAGTTCATTTCCTAAACAGTTATTTTTTTCTATTTTGTTTGTCTTTTTTGTGTGTATCTGTATATGTGTTTGTGTGTTTCCTTTTACAGATGGATATACAACTGATGACATTGAGTTTTACTGGCGTGGGGATGATAATGCAGTAACAGGAGTAACCAAGATTGAACTTCCACAGTTCTCTATTGTAGATTATAAACTTATCACCAAGAAGGTTGTTTTTTCCACAGGTTTGTATCAGGGCAAATAGTTAAGAGAAAAGGGGCTTTATTATATTTTGCCAAAAGGGTTCACTTATATCAGGATCAGGTCCCAGGGAAGGATGGGGACTCTGGAAGACTTAGATCTGCTGAAAATGCTCAGTTCCCCAGCAAGCCCATTTGGAACCCATCCATTTACTTTCAAGAAGGCACCCCCAGCAAAGCAAATGTCTCTCATGTACTATCATAATTCCTTGAAACATACTGAGGACAGCCAGGTCATAGTTCACTCAAGTCTGACCACAGTGAAATTCTCTAAACACAGTAGGGTGGGAGGACTTCACATTTTTCTCAAAGGGTAGGACTTTCTTTACGTAGCCTTACCTACTGTTTTGGAGCTAAAATCTTTTCCAGATGTTGAGATTATCCTGATACATTTACCATTCTTATTCTTCCAGTATTGAGGTCAGACTTGTTTTCATCAGCACAGATTTTTAACAAAAAAGCCCAGGAATGCAGTAATTTGCTCCATACTCATTAAAAGAAAAATAAGTCCACAGGAATATCCCTCTTTATATTTTTCTTATTGAAATGAATTCCCCAAGCACAGAAATAGCTAATACAGTAACTGTAGATTTTGAATTGTCTGCTAAGGACTCAGGCACTTCCTGTCCCTGAAAACTACTTCAAGCAAGAATACAAAATAGCCTCCAGCTTTGCAAAAGAAACAACAGAAACTTTTCTTAGGTTTGAGGTTCTTTGAACCCCCGAGACACTATAGAAATGAGTTTCTACTTAAAATATTTTTACTTTAATATTAATATACTTGCTTCAGTCCAAGAGGGCTAGACAAGGCTTTCAGTTAGTAAGAATATCCCCCCCCCTCACACACACACACACACACCATTTGTCAATGTGACTCTTTTAGGTTATAAGACTGTATTCTGTTACATATCTCATTTAAAATGTAATTCCCCAGGTCCACACCATCAAAAGACCCAGCTTCAAGAATCTGATCCTTAGTTATATCTCCCACAAACATTGCTCAGGAAAAGTGACTCTCCACCTTTTGGTGGGTCAGGAATCCTTTTAAAACTTTGATGGAAGCAATGAAATTAGAAAAATTACTGCGTACACATGAAAACCTTCACAAAATTTCAGGGATTTGCTGCACTAACTGCAGCCTTGCCACTGATCCTCGCCTTAAAATGCATCCTGGGGCTTGTGAAGAGATTTCTTTCCCTATAATCAGAGTGTGCAGCCTTATTCTTATATACATAAATGTACAGGATGGACTTGCTGAGAAACAGTTAAAGGGGGAACCAAGGGACTGTCTCAAATTGTCTTGTCATCACAGTTGCAGAGAATGAGAACGTTTGATTCAGTGTAGGAGGCTGAGGAGGGAAGAGCTGGAATTCTTTCAATTACTGATGAGTGTGGAATATATTTAACACTGAGTAAGTCCTGCTAATTAAAAGCCCTGTTTTCTCAGACCACTTTTGCAGAAGAAAATGCCCTTCACCAGGAGCTAAAATTGAGTTTAGGAAAGATATACAAACTGTTTGTGGGCCTTTAAAGAAAAGTATCCTATAAATATTGATTGATAACGATGATGTTTTAAAATTGTCTTTCTAGGTTCCTATCCCAGGTTGTCCCTCAGCTTTAAGCTTAAGAGAAACATTGGTTACTTTATCCTGCAAACATACATGCCATCTATCTTGATCACTATCCTCTCCTGGGTCTCCTTCTGGATTAATTACGATGCTTCAGCTGCAAGAGTGGCATTAGGTAGGCATCAATCTGACTGCTTGTGGAGTGTGCCTGTGTGTGCGCGTGAGTGCACGTGCACTTTCCTTACCCTCGAATTTGCGATGCGTGACGAGACCGGACTGCGCACATTATAAGAATTTGGCTATGAGACGTTGGGTGATCTGATTCAGCGTTAAATCAGTTAAACACAAATTAAAACTCTTTCATGTCAAAATTAGTTAACTATGTAGCTGTCGGTAATGAAATTAGTCCCATCAGCTTGATATTTTTATTGAAGCATAGTTCATGTAATATTGCTAGATAATTGTTGTTTTTATCTGTGTTTCCTTACCTGGGAAGAGCTCTCTTCCATCTTTTTTTTAATTATTATTCTGAACAAGAAACAAAGAAATGAAATGTGCAACTAATCAATGAGCAGAAAATTCTGAAGTCTTAACTAAGATTTTGGGATAGCATGGCAGAGGGCAGGAGACAACAAAGTAAGAATATTGGGAAATCATCCATGGCATCACTTATCTTATGCATGACGTTTTTCCATCATGACACCAGAGGAAGAGAATAAATTGTATTTCGTGAACATTTTTATGTTGCTAACTCCAGATATAGTAAATTTATGACCTTTTATGCAATCTTTATTATTCTGAGTTCTGACTAATCCCTTTAAATTTTGAGTTAAGTGCTTCACCAGTATATCTCAATTAAATCATTAATTCCTTAGCAAAGTCATTATTCATACAACAAAAATTTTTTGAGCACCTACTATGTGTCAAACATACTGGGCACTGGAGATAAAGCCAGTGTCCTTCTGGAAGTTATGTTCTAGGAATAAAAGGTAAAAAAGTAAATTTATTTTGCATTTAACATGCAAATTATATAATATGGTAAACCTGTAGAGTGGAAATAAGCAAGGTAAGGGGGTGGGTATACTAGGGGTACAGTTTAGAACAATCAGCGTAGACTTCATTGATTGCCAATGGATAAAGACTTGAAGAAGATCAAGTCACATAAATGTCTGGATGAGAATATTCCAGCTTGATGAAGAGGCCCTCAAGTAGAAACATGCCAAGCAAGTGAGCAAGGCGGCCTGTAAGGCAGATGCAGAGTGAGTTCAGGAGTAGAGATAATGTCAGGGAGAGGGGACTAAAAGATGATGAAATGGTCCAGGGGCCATAATAAAAGTTTTGCTTTTATTCTGAGTGAAATTAGAGCAACACTGAGCAAAGAACTGACATGATTTCAGATACAAAGGGATAACTTTGGCTGCTGTGTTGAGATTAGATTGTGGTGGTTCAGGGATGGAAGGAGAATTAATTACCTCCTGGACTGAGTCAAGTCCCTTGTGATATATTCTCTTAAAATACTGTAGACCAACCTTGGAGACCAGCCACAGTTATAATTTATATTTATTTGGTTTGTGATGTTCATTTTCCTCATGGTACTGAAGATACCTTGGAGGAAGGTCCATATCTAATTTTGCTTCCGTTATATTTGTAGTGTCTCACACAGCGAATGGTGTCCAGTAAATACCTGCTGAATAAAGTAATGACTGGAATTTGTAAATATCCTGTTATTCCAAAATGAAAATCTGTTATCAATTTGATGCCTATTACAGGAATAATACATAAGTTATTTACTTTTTGAAAGAAAATTGTCAAATGTCTTTTATGTGAGCAGTTTATTACTAGGTCAGAAACACCTTAACATGAGATTTAGATAAATAGTAAAATTAGTGTTGTCTGTTTTATAATATACATGTAATATTCATGTCATCCAAGATAAGCTCTAGATGAAATAATGAAAAGTAAAATTGGAAAATGTATCAAAATGTCTAACATAGAAAAGATGTGAGAACTATAAAATACCTAGATCTAAAGTATAACCATATTTTTTTGGCCATGCTCAGAATTGGATGCTCAAATTTATTTTTTCTGTATCTGTTTCATGAGCATATAGAAAAGCAAGGCAAAAATTATCTTATTAGAGAGAAAAAATTAAATCAGAAAACATATGTTCTTAAAAAATAGAATTGAAAATTAACTTTTGGTCTGTGTTATCAGGTAGTGTTTAAGGGCACAGGTTTCTGAGTCAGAGACACCCCAGTTCAAATTTTGACTCTGCAACTTCCCATCTGTGTGATCTTGACCTAGGAGCTCTGTTTTCACATCACTCTTTTCCTACAAAGCTGGACCTTTGTAGGAAACTCAGGGCTCTGGACTCCCACTGCTTTTACCCAGCATATCTCTGTCTATCCCTCCAATTACAGCTTTGGGAAAACTACTCCCCACTGTTGGAGATGTTCCCTCAGCTGGACTAGTGGTAATAACCTGACATAGTGTGGCATTTCCCATAGAGTCTTGTAATACTTCTATATTATTTATCTGTGCATTATGTGCCTACATTCCCAACCCAGAAACACGAAGGCTAGACAGCTGCTTCTCTGTTACTCTCCACCTCTAGTTTCCATATTTTTTGCAATAATTGTTCATATCATCTGTTTAATGCATTCATTGAGTTCAGTACTTTTACAGTGATTTTAATTTATTTTCCCTTCATCACTTACTTATTCTGAAAAACTCTCAGCTGGTATTCTGCTTCCTGTCTTGCATGCTTACCCTCATGATGGTCCTAAACACAGTTTGTCCCTGATACCTCCCTACTGGAAGCTGGTCAGTAGCCTCACATTGCCTTCAATTTTAAGTTCAAGTTCTGCATTAGGCACTGTGTATGTAACTTTCCATTATGCAGCCCTTAATCTCTACTTTGCTCATCATTCTTCCCATCATATCCTATAATGTACCCACATTGAGTTTCTTGAGATTCTTTTGATGGGCTGTGTACTTTGACCCCCACAAAGCACCCCTTTAAAAAACTCTCTCGGGCTTCCCTGGTGGCACAGTGGTTAAGAATCTGCCTGCCAATGAAGGGGACACGGGTTCGAGCCCTGGTCCAGGAAGATCCCACAAGCCCGTGCACCACAATTACTGATCCTGTGCTCTAGAGCCCGCGAGGCATAACTACTGAAGCCCGTGCGCCTAGAGCCCGTGCTCCGCAACAAGAGAAGCCACCACAATGAGGAGCCCGCACATGGCAACAGAGGAGCACCTGCTCGCCACAATTAGAGAAAGCCCGTGCATAGCAACAAAGACTGAACACAGCAAAAAATAATAAATAAATAAATTTATTTTAAAAATAAATAAATAAATAAACTCTCTCCACCACCAATGCCCTTAGGTCTACTACCACTTTTGACCTCCAGGTTTTGTTTGCCTGGGTAACTCTGACTCATTCTTCAAGACTCAGCTCCGAAGTCTATATTTCCTGATCTCTTCCCTGCCACATCATGGGCTAAACTAGGATCTTCTCCATATTCTCAACTTTCACCTTACACAGATGTCTATCATAGCATTTAATTCACATCTCTAGCCCCCCACTAGATACATAACTATAAATATAAAAATGTAATTAAAGGAAATGCCCCCCAAATGATTAATGTTTGCTATAAATTAATGATTTATACATATTGCCAGGGCCTATCACAGGGCTGCTATATAATAAGTGCCTGGTATATATTTTGCAGTATCTATAAACAAGTAAAAAAATACAGTTAAACTTTCCAGCTATGATGAAAGCAGAAAGGAAATACAAACACTATTACTCTAACTCTCTCATTTTTTACAGGAATTACAACTGTGCTAACAATGACCACTATCAATACCCACCTCCGGGAAACTCTCCCTAAAATCCCTTATGTGAAGGCCATTGACATGTACCTGATGGGGTGCTTTGTCTTTGTTTTCATGGCCCTTCTGGAATATGCTTTGGTCAACTACATCTTTTTTGGGAGGGGACCTCAACGCCAAAAGAAAGCAGCTGAAAAGGCTGCCAGTGCCAACAATGAGAAGATGCGTCTGGATGTCAACAAGGTAAGTTCAAAGGGCAAAGCCCTCCTTGCTTCTTAAACTCATAGAAGAATGCCTGCAATATAGGTTCATGGCCTTGTTAACAAATGAGAAAACCAAAGCCCAGGGAAGAGATAATTAGTGATGGAGGCACAATTAGGGCCCAAATTTATGGTACAACATTTACATGCCCTTTACCTTAACACTAGGGTGGCCCAAACCATAGTCATCTGAGAACCACCTTTGTGACTTATTCCATATATGAGTATAATATGTACTATTATTTACTTTATGTTTATTTAAATTTACTCACTTTATTTAAATTTATTTTAAAAAAGGAAATTTCATATCACTTAAATCAGTATTACTTGCTGGAAGATAATCTTAAGTATAAATAAAAATGGAACTGTGTTATTAAATTCTAGGTTATACTAGATAAAGGCTCTAGGCCTGAGCTCTGCATTCTCATTGATTTAAAAAGGAAATAAGCATGTACAGACATGTGCTAAAGACCCACCAGCAACAAACTGAGACTGTGTTCTTGAAGTCATCAGATGGATAGAAAAAGAAGTGGAAGGGAAAAAAAGAATAACTTACTTTTTAAGTGACAGATAATTACTTAATGCCTTGCACATGTACTACTTAAAATCCTTGAAGCATTTGAGTACAGGAGGCTACCATGTTGCTTAAGTCAGGCATAGCCAAAGAAAAATTCCTACACAGTTGTAAATCTAATTTATTCTTGAAAGCAATGGTTCTCAACTTTGGGTGCTCAATTAAATGACTAGGAAAGCATTAAAAAATACTGAAGCCTGGGTTTCATCCCCAGAAATTCTGATTTGATTGTTCCTGGGGTATGCCTGGGCATCATAATTTTTTTTAATTCTCCAAATATTATTCTTATTTGCATTCAAGATTTAGAATCTCAATTTTGAGGCTTTCGACAATAGTTCCAATAGATCTAGCCATCTTTACTCCCAAAATGTGACTTCACCTGGCTTCCTGTTATATAACTTTCGGCACTGAACGGAATATTTACATATGCATTTTCCCATAGTGCAAATTTAGGCGCTTCAAAATAGACAAAAAACACAAGGACTTATTTTAATATCTGCCATAAATAGCGTTTATAAAGTAGTGCATGATGTTGGATTTGGTAAATAGTTCATAGTGATGGAACTAAGAAAATAGTAATACTTTTAAGCTATCTGGGATTGTTAACCATCCAATAATTATTGCATTTACATTTTAATATTTCTAACTTCAATTTAATTCCAAGGGTGGCACACCATAAATAATCCCTGCCATTGAGTTTTATTTGGCGCAAACCCAATGAAAGCTTCTGACTCACTGATATTTTCCATATATCCATAGGTCTGATATTCGATTTTGGACTATTCTCTGATCAAAAGCACTCCTTCCCAGGAGATGATATTCATAATGATGCAAATTTTAAGTATGGCCCTTATAAGCCAGTGAACCACAGGGTCTAGGAAGTTGTCAATCTCTTTTCAGTGCTCCGGGTTTCATTTATTGGAATCTGTTAATCGATTCCAAGGTAGCATTATGACTCTCTCGGGCTGTCAAATAGAGAATGCTTTTTAAACCCATTTTACAATTTTCCTGATAGAGTACCTTTAGTAAAGAAAATGAACAAATAAAACAATCTCCTAGGACAGCAGTTTGAAATGAGTCTCAATAAATTGCCTAAAGCAAAGCTGGCTTAACATCTGATCTCTCTTCACTTTCACCTACCCTATTTTTTCATACCAATTTGCATTTACATAATAAATTTAAGTACCAGAGAGTGGCAGTTTTGTAGCAGACTGAACCTGGAGAGCTTCAGGTAGTTTTAAACTCCATGTACTGAGATGGAGGTAGGGAATGGTTCACTGGGCAGGTACCCCATAGTGATGCAAAACCCATCCATCCTCTTGGCTGAAGTTGGATCCACAATTCAGAGCATAGAATGAGAGAATAAAAAAGATACCAGAATTCTTCTAGTACAGTGGTTCTCAAATCTCAGGCCATTTTGCCACCACGCCCCCCCGCCCCCGTCAGAGGATCATTGACAATGTCTGTAGATGTTTTGGATTATCAAAACCAGGAGGAGGGGATTGCCACTGGTATCTAGTGGGTAGAGGCCAGCCGTGCTGCTAAACATTCTACAGTGCATTGGACGGCCTCCCCATAACAATTATCCAGCCCAAAACGTCAGTACTGCTGAGGTTAAAAAACTCTATGCTAGTCCAATCCTCCGGCTTCAAACTTGAGAAAAATGTAAGATACGTGTCCTATTCTTAAAACTCTTGAGCACAAGTGGAGTCTCTTCTTTCTTTGATCAGTGTGCAATAACATCATGGTATCAGGAGTTATCATTCAGCACAGTAATTCTGAACAGATATTTTAGAGTCAGTCAGGTTTGATATTTACCCTCTATTTAGTAGTTGTGTGATAATAGGGGGGAAAAAAGTCTCTCTGACCCTTTAGTTTCCTCATCTGTAAAATGGAGTTAATTCCTCTCATAAGTTATGAAGTTATGATAAAATGTAGAAAATAGCATAGTCCCCAGTATATGATAAGCACTAGGTAAGTGATAAATATTAACAAAATATTATAAATGATAAACATTATTACTTTTCAAAATAAAATTTACAGTCTCCAGACCTATTGGCGATACTTGCTTGTGCGTTCTGCATGCTCTGGTATGTAGGATGCAGTCCTATCCCTAAAAAAGTATTACCTACAGAGGAATGTTTCACTTTGGAAGTTTTAAAGTCAAAGCAACGAAATCATTTTTCAACAGGTATTCGCTGTAAAATCGATAGCAAGCCAACTATAAACTTTATCAATTATTTCTTAGGTCAGAATACTTAGAGCCATGTTGATTAGATTTTTTAAAGGTAGCCATCTAACATTCCAGGCTCCCTTTTTTTTTTTTTTTTTAACACAGCATGAAGGGTTAGAGGAGACCCACAGAGGGCTCTGATTGCACAATGCTTTCTTTTGTGTCGGCATCATGAATAATGTCACTCTATTTCTTATCAAGAATGTTCCTTCTTTTTAACTGTAATTTTACAGTTTTTTTTTTTTTTAAAGATCAGGCACATATAATCAACTAAGTATTGTTGGATGCTCCGGAGCAATCAGTCACTAGGAGAGGGATTGACTTTTTCTGGTTCCATTGATGGTTTCCTAGAGACAGAAGCAGCATGTCATATGGTCTAAAGTGATTTTTAAACTCTTCTCTGTCCTGAGGGCAGGAGGGATGAAAATGGGAAGCCTAGCCAGGTGGGAGCCCACTGTCACTCAGAGGCATGCTTCCACATTTTTCTAATCTCTTCCCTGTATGAAGTTTCCTGTAGATTCTTATTTTAACAAGAGTTATCTGCAGCTCTTAAAACAATTCTTAGTCTGGTGTTTAACTGATGGAAAAACTAAGGCTCTGAAAGAAAGTTAACTACCCAAGGTTGCATAGCAAAGTTAACAAGATTTCTGAGATGATCTAGGTTTTCTAGTCGTTATCCAGTGTACATTCCTCTGTGCAAGCAAGTGAAAAAATAATATAAAATTTAAAAGCTGATTCCAGATTAGTCTATATATTCAGTTCACATCACCTAAAAAAACCCGTCTGTCTACAGGAGTCCGTAGCTGACAAGCCTTGTTACTTTCACAGTTGTCTCCATGCGACAAATTAAGTTGTTAACTACTAAGATTTTTAAAAATAAACCTCAAAACAGTAAGAGTTCTGAATATTTTTCTTCAGTGTTTTCAGGAGTAGCTAAAAAACTACAGTCTCTTTTTCTAATGTTAGGAAAGCTCTCCTGTTATACCTTGCATTCTTCTATTGTGTGTGTGTGTGTGTGTGTGTGTTTCCTTATAGGATTTTCTCTTGATCAATTTTCCCACTTGTTCATGCCTTCAAGTTTTCAGCTCTCCCTTTTTTTTCTTTTAAGCTTTATGTTGTTTTCTTGTTTATTTTTCTGCCAATAACTAGGTGTATATATATTTGAGACTTTAGTTACTTCTGTCTTTTCACCACCCTGATTCTTGCATATCTGAAATGCCTCCAATATCCTTACTGTATCGAGAGACCCACAACCACCAGTTTTCCCAATAAAGCTGCACCGAAAAGATCTACTGGGGGGGTGGCATCCTTTATTCTGCATTCATGGGTGTTGGAGTCTCTGTGTTGTCTTTATCCATTACACCTAAATTTTTGGTTAAGCAGAGCACTAAGATCTTTTAAATTTTTTTATTTCTAGTGCTTGAAACTAGATTTTGTAAGTGATACCTTAAAAAGAACTATTTAGAAGTTCTAGTCTCTGTTAGCATCGGTCTTTCTAGAGACCAGTAGCATTTATCTATAGCCAATTTACTTTAACCACCAATTCTAATCTAGTGGCATCAGTCGACTTAATTAGCACATTCTCTACTTTGTCTTCCAGATTTTTTATAAAGATATTAAACAAAATGGGACCCAATATCGATCCTTGTGGGACCCAACTGGAAACCTCTCCCCAACTAGACGGACTACCAATTACGATTTCTCTCTGTATACGGTTAGATAGCCAGTTTTTAATCCATTTATTTGTATTTCTGTTGGAGCCAATATGTTTAGCTGTTCCCTTTAAATTAATGTATGGCGTTTTTGCGGATAACCTATGGACTTGTATCCTGAGACGTGGGGATACGTTAAATGTTTTCATGAGACCATAATGGGGTTTTCCTGGGTTTGTTTTTTTTAAATGTAGTTATGATGAACCTAAGCTTCAGTGTTCCACTCATACATTATTGTTGTGCTAAAGAAAGAAAACAAGCGGATCGTATTTTGAGACTTCTTGTCATTTGTATTGAGAGTATAGAGTATCATTATATACTCTGGCATTTCTTAGTTTTCTTGTTGTGTTTCTTTGGGTTGGTGGAATAGGTGGAGAATTATACAGTCCTTCCGTAGGTTGGCTTAGAATTCAGGAACCTATATTTTCTGCCCTAGATCATTCACTTGTGTGTGAGAATGTTAT